CACCCCATCCCCCACCCGACCGGCGACAAGCCATGGACAATGCCGAACTCCCGAACTCCCTCCTCGCCATCCCTGCAACCCCAAAAACATACAAAATTCACTTTGCGGCAAATGTTGGGTCATGTTCGGGGACCCCGCGAACAAATTGTCTTGTCTTTTTGACAGGAAGGGCAGAAGTGCCAGCATACATCGCCGCTCCGAAAGTTCCTTGAATTTTCTCAATTGGGCCCGGTGGCATTGTGTGCTCGCCTAGGTTGCAGCCCACTTGGCAACGGCCCTGATGGGGTTGAGGGGCAGGATGCGTTGAACCCCCCTCACCCCCTAGAAGCCTAGTAAGAAATCCCTCTTGTGTGGTCTCAGCGGGATCCTTGGCCAGTAGTTCACCCTTTAATAGTATAGTTTGAGTCCTGCCAACCATAAATCCCACCCATGAAAAACAGGGTCTGGATAAATCCCGAGGTGGGACCCGATCCCGCAAATGTATGACATGTTCGGGTCGTCTGGAGGTCATCTTGAAATCATCTCCAAGTCCTCTTAAGACCATGGTATTGTACTCTGGTCATGCTCTGGCCACCTCGGGGTCGCTCTGGGGCCACCGCGCCTGGTCTCCGGGGCGTCGATCACATCTTGGGCCATCTTGGATTCGCCCCCAGGCCATTTCGACGCTGCGTCTGCATCCTGCAGGGGCCACGGGGTCTTCTTGGGGCCGCCCCGAGGTCATCTTCGTGCCCGTCTGAGGCCGTCGTGGCACCATCTTGGGGCCATAGGGCCGCCCAGGCATCCCGTCTGGGTCGTCTGGAGGTCTTCCGCGTTTCCAAGGAAACTTTCGCTACGCCTAAGTATGGCCTGCTGTGCGCAGGGCCACCATCCCTGTCAAAAACAATATGCTTGCACTTCGCGGCTGATTCTGGATCATGCGCGGGCAACCCCCGCGATCATGTTGCATTGGGTTTTGACAGGGGCGGCGGGGCTGCTGGCACATTGCCTGGTGTGTGCAGGCCCACCAGACGTCATGATGGCCACTCTGTCGTGATTGCGCGCACTGGCTTCGGACTGGGGCGATGGGAGCCGACGTGGCGCACCTCGCCGCAGCGTCGCGCACAGGGGATCTGTATTGGTTACCCAGTCGCTGCCCATCAAAAGACGACCGCTGAATATGCTGAGACTCGAGTACGCTCGACCACTCGACCAGGATAGTAAGGATGCGCGGTAAGGATGCAAGGGCCTTGGAACGCCATGTTGACGTTTTCCGTGCGGAGCGCAGCAGAATACCGAAGGATGCCGAATACCGAAGGGGCAAGGATGCAAGGGTAGCCTTGGAAAGTTGCCCCATCCTTACTATCATGCTTGACTGTACTGCCTTTGTGTTGGGAGGGCGGGCGGGAGTGAGCCAGACAATTTTCGTCTGGGAGAGGTGCCCTCACCCCTCCCCACACCATACCGCCTCCCCTGGCTCTGGAGGGGGGGAGGGGGGGGCGACCCATCTGAGTGTCCAAAATGGCCCGCGACGAGATGCCTTCATGAGGAACGAGATGCAGTAGGGGCCCGACCACAGGAAAACTCGCACAAGAAACCCAACCCTGAGACCCCAGGACGTCCATCGATGTTTGGTGTGGGAACGTCGCGCTTTCAACAGCAAAACCATCGAACCCCAAGAAAACCAGGGCGCCTTCGATGCAAGCAGGGTGTTTCTTGGCATAGGCCTCCACTGTAGCCTCAGACAGATCACGATAGTTTCCAGCATGCCTCCAAAAAGCCCAAGACCACTTCAGGATGGCTCCGTGTGGCCAAGGAGGCTCCGCATGATGCCCCGAGGAAGAGAGGCACAACTCCTTCCCAAACCCACAGGCAGCCACTGCTGTTTGCCTTCTCGACTTTTCTCTTCCGATTGGCTTCTGAGGCCACGAGACAGCTCCAAGATGGCCCCAAGGAGCCCGAAGAAGAGCACATGAGGGCTCCAGCCCAGCCCACAGAACGCCCCTAAAAGGGACACACCACCCCCCGCATTCAAAAGTCCAGATCGGCACTTTACGAAGCAACAACCCCCTGAATCTTCGCCCTTCGACTGATCATCTCTCTTCGACCGTTGATCCATCCTGGATCCTCGATCCTGGGTGTTCGATCACCCGTCGATCCTGGATCCTCGATCGTCGGATGGTCCTCAAGAGGAACTCGACACTTTTTGGCGGCATGATGTGGGACTTCCTTTCTGTGGGGGCATCCCATGCGAAGCCGCCACGTTCTGGTGGCCTGGGAAATCGTCTGGCCGCTCCGAGAGACGACTCGGTTTTTGTCTCGATGAAGCCCTGGGAGGCATGCGACTTTCCGGTCCGACTCCCGAGTGGCCATTCTCATATGACCATCAAAGAGGACGATGGGTGCACCAGATGGTCGCAAGCTCGTCGTTGCAAAGTTGTGTTGGGGACCCGTGAACTGACGGGAAGCACGCAATACTTCTTGCGCGACCTCTGTGGTCCAGACTTGTTGATACAGGGGGCTGTGAGATGCGACCTCTCCAGCCCAAGAGGGGCAATTCGACAAAGCTAGTAAGTGGCCTTCCCTTCTTTGAGCGATCTCCTCAAAGACGGCCCCAAGAGGGTCCCCTAGTCTCCCTAAGGCCCCCCGAAAGCTCCCCAAATGCCTCTAACAGGGCCCCAAGATAGCTCACAGAAGCTTCCAAGAGGCCCTTGAGGCACAAGGTCCGCAAAGGTTTGCATGCTTGACTCCTGCCGTCGCCGTCGTCCGCCTCGTCCTCGTCCTCGTTGAACGCTGTCGTCGTCGTCGTCGTCGTCGCCGTCGTCGTCTTCGCCCTATCTCCTTCATCCTCCTCTTGGTCTTCCTCCTCCTCCTCCTCCTCCTCCTCCTTCCACCTCCATCTTCATCATCGTCATCCTCCCTCCTCCCCTTCATCCTTCTCTACTTTCTTCTCCGCACCCTCCGCCTTCCTCGACGATAGGCTCAGCAATTCCACTTCTGGGCAAGCCCAGGCTGCGTCCGAGCTTGGGCTTGACGGCTGGCTCACTTGTCTATTCAGCTGGATGCTCCTACGCCTCCCTGAACAGGGCAACTCGCCTGGCGATCCTTCCTTCATGTGCCAGTAGGGATATCAGCGAGGCGTCAGAGAGAGTCAGGGTGACGATACATCGGGGATCTCTGGAAGCTGGCGCGTCTGGAGGACACATCAGGCGCCGCGGCCGTTCCAGAGCGCTCCAGAACTCTCTTTGAGCGCCTTCTGGAACACTCTGGAGCGATTCGTCCTCATCCCAGGCCTGCCGAACCCTTCGAGACTTCGGTCGGGCACGTCCTCCTGCAGGCGGACTTCAGACAAAAAAGGAAAAAGAGTCAAACAAAAAATCCAGACATTTAAACTAATCAAAAAGGAGCACGAGAAATCGTCCCCAGACTCGTTTTTGGCTATTCTTGCACACTCCTCATGTGGAGGAGCATGCCCGATTTAATGAGCATCGTATATCCGATCCCTATCCCCAGCGGCGTGACCTGGGCCCCACTGGCCGATTTACCCCCCTAGATGGGGGTATATGCCGTTCCCTTCGGGCTTCGAGGGGTGTATCCCACCAGGGGGGGTCATTTGGTGGGGGTCTCGAAGGGGATAGGGGATGGGGATGGGGGTCGGTTAAACGGTACTGACTGAAACCCTTCGAGACGGAGGAGGGCACACGGCGGGAGCGCCCCCAGGGGAGAGAGAGAGAGAGAGAGAGAGAGAGAGAGGGGAGTGCCAGTGAGTGGCCGACAGACCGCGCCCGCGCCCGCGACTTCCGGGCTGCGCTGCGCGAGAGGCGGCACTCTTGAGGGGCAACGACAGGGGGGGCACTGGCATAGGGGGGTGACGCCTCGAGGAGGAGGAGGAGGAGGAGGAGGAGGAGGAGGAGGAGGAGGAGGAGGAGGAGGAGGAGGAGGAGGAGGGAGGAGGGAGAGGGAGGAGGGAGGAGGGAGGAGGAAGGAGGGGAGGGGAGGAGGAAGGGAGGAGGGAGGAGGGGAGGAGGGAGGAGGGAGGAGGGCGGCGGGAGGGAGGGAGGGAGGGACGGGAGGGAGGGAGGGCGGGAGGGAGGGAGGGATGGGAGGGAGGGAGCGACGGGGGAGAGGAGGAGGAGGAGGAGGATGAGGAGGAGGAGGAGGAGGAGGAGGAGGCGGAGAGAGGAGGAGGCGGGCGGAGGGTAGGAGGGCGGAGGGAGGGGGAGGAGGAAGGAGGGAGGAGGAGGAGGGAGGAGGGATGGAGGGAGTGAGGGAGGAGGGAGGAGGAGGAGGGAGGGGGGGGGAAGGGAGGAGGGAGGAGGGAGGAGGGAGGAGGGAGGAGGGAGGAGGAGGGAGGAGGGGAGGAGGATAGGAGGGAGGAGGAGGAGGGAGGCGGGAGGAGGGAGGAGGGAGGAGGAGGAGGAGGAGGGAGGAGGGAGGAGGTAGGCGGGAGGAGGGAGGAGGGAGGAGGGCGGAGGGAGGAGGGAGGAAGGGAGGTTTGAGGAGGGAGAAGGGATGGAGGGAGGAGGATGAGGAGGTGGCGGAGGAGGAGGGGAGGAGAGGAGGTAGGAGGAGGGTGGAGGTGAGGAGGAAGGAGGAAGGAGGAGGAGGAGGAGGAGGAGGAGGAGGGGATCCGAAGGAGAGGAGGAGGGGGAGGAGGAGGAGGAGGAGGAGGAGGAGAGGAGGAGGAGGAGGAGGAGGAGGAGAGGATGAGGAGGAGGGGAGGAGGAGCGGGGGGCGCATCGACCTGGAATCGGCGATACATCGCCGATAGATCGGCGATAGTCTCCCGATCGTGAATCCGAACCTTCCTGGGCGGGGTGGGGCTATCGGGTCCCTATCGGCGATCAATTGGCGATTGGGGGGGGCCTCTCTCCTCCTCCGCCTCCTCTCCTCCTCTACTCCTCCTCCTCCTCCTCCTCCTCCTCCTCCTCCTCCTCCTCCTCCTCCTCCTCCTCCTCCTCCTCCTCCTTGCATCCCCCGCTATGCCCATCCCCCCCTATCGTTGCCCCCGACACTCTCCCGGCTCAGCAGTGGGCTCTCGGGCTGGCGGCCTCGTCGACAGCCAGGCGCGGGCGCCTCGGAGGGGCGCGCCCTGGGCCACCCTCAATTGAGCGGGGACCGACCGTCCCGGCACTCCTATAGGCCTACCACGACAAGCTCTTAGAACCCCAAAATGTCCCAATAACAAGAATAATGTTCTGAGTGCAAAAAGCCAGTGTGTTAAAACAAGACAGCCCCAGCCAGGACTGTTCTAAGAACACGTCGTAGACACCACAAAAGCTTCTTACAACATTGTTTGGAAGGCCTTTGGGCACGCCGAGACGCCTCGCCGCTGCTGGAGGCTCGAGCTCCACATCTCACGCCGCACGGTGCGTGGACACTTTTTGCGGACTCGGCAGCACGCGTGCGGGGTACGGATGGACATGCGGTGGTACTCGAGCGCCGTTTTTCTTCCTCACCCGACGCGTGGAGGAGAAGCACGCCACACTGGAGGAGAGAGAGAGAGAGAGAGAGAGCGAGAGCGAGAGGAAGAGGAGCACGGCGAGCAGCCAGAATGACACGTACAGCGAAGCGACGACCAGCCCAGAGTGGCGCACACCCGACCACCGACGCCAGCTGGGCTGGAGCAGCGGCCGCGGCAGCAGCAGCACGGCAAGGCGAAGAGGAGGAAGGCCGCGGATACCCGGGGGGCGTCCAAGAGGGGGGCGTCCAAGAGAGGGGGGTGCGCAAGTCATGGCCCGCCGCACGTGTGCGCGGCCCAGGCGGGGCCGGGGGGGCATGGGAAGGAGAAGAGTCGCCACGAAATCCGGGGGGAAGGGGTGCAGAAGGGGCGAGTCTTGCCCTTCTCGTCGTCTCCCGCTCTCGCTTTCCACTCGGGGTCCCTCTCCGACCGCGCCAGGGGGAGGCTCCGCCACCCCTGCCGTTCAACATGCGGCACCTCCCCGCCCGAAGAGGTGGGCGCAGCGTGCGCCAGCGCCCCGCGTGCCCAGACGGACCTCGGCCCGCCCTCATCGGTGCGCTCTCCCTACCCTCCTCTCGCTCCGGAGGAGCACCAATCTGCGAGGCGACCGCGCCCGCCCTGTGGGGGCGACGCGCGTCGCCATGTGCGATGGTGCGAAGTGTTGGCGACCATTACGCCCCTTCCGTTGATAGACGTTATTTTGAACAACACCAGTCCTCTCGCTCCGCGAGAGGAGGGGGAGGAGGAGGGGGGCGGGGGAGGACCAGCAGGATAAGCAGCAGGAGGAGCTGGATGAGGAGCATGAGGAGGCGGGTGAACACGGCGGTGGTGCGGGAAAGGAAGGGGGGAGGAAAGAACGAACGAACGAACCACCAGTGCGGACAAGTGTCTGGGCCTCGTTAGGCCAGGTGGGTGAGGCCTTAGCCTCGAGATGCTGTAGTGTGTGTTGATAAATGCAGGCGAGGCATGCAAAACATACCATCGGCCAAGGGGGAGGAGGAGGAGGGGGAGGGGGAGGGGGAGGAGGAGGAGAAGGAGGAGGAGGAGGAGGAGGAGGAGGAGGAGGGGGAGGAGGAGGAGGAGGAGGAGGAGGAGGAGGAGGAGGAGGAGGAGGGAGTTGAGGAGGGGCGGGGGGGGGTCTGGCCGTGGGAGCAGCGGCTGAGTGCCCTCCTCTGAGCTTCCCTACCGAGAAGTGTGGGGGGGCGGGGGGCGGGGACGGAGGGGGCGGGAGGAGCAGAGGAGGGGCTAGGTTGAGTTCGGCCATGTCCTCCTACAGGCGGATTTTGGACGAAAAAATTTAAATACTCCCAAATATGCAAAAATAGTAGAAAAAACTAGGAAAATCGTCCCCATACTATGTTTTGACTATTTTTGAATTTTCGTTCTGTGAGGGGAAAAGCCCGACTTGAGGCTAGCTCCAGGCGGGGGGGGGAGGCGAGAGGGGGAGCAGGCGAGGGAGGCGAGGAGGAGGCGAGAAGGGGAAGCGGCGGCCAGCGGCAGGAGCGGCACGAGACACCAGCGGGAGGTGCGAGGGGAGCCCCGAGCCGTCGTCGTCGTCCTCGTCCTCGTCCTCGTCCTCCCCCCCACCCCACCCCATCTGGATCTGGGGGGGGGGGGGCCTGTGAACCCTGACCGAGGATCAGATATGCATCGTGATGCCTCTCGCGCTCTCTGTGGGGCAGGGGCAGCAGCGCCGGCAGAGGACGGCCCGGCTGCTGCGGGAGGGGGGAGGGCAGGGGGGGGAGGGCAGGGCAGGGGGCGCCAAGATGTGGGGCGGGGCAGACCCTGCCCAGACCTCTGGCGCCATGGCCTGGAGCTGCCTGCGCAGGATGGTGGTGGTCCACGGCGGCTCGTCGGCCCAAATCGGTTGGGCCTCCTGAGTCTCGCTGCGTTGTTTTTGGGAGGGGGGGAGTTCGGCAAGAACGAACTCCTCCGCGGAGTCCAGAACGGCACGAAGATGCGGGACGGGGCGGGGCCTGTCGGTCTGGGCCATGGGCTCCAATCGCCACCCTCCTCGCGCTAATCGTTCTCCCTCATCTTCGTCCTCCCTATGGTCTTCGTTGTCCTCCTCTTCCTCCTCCTCCTCCTCCTCCTCCTCCTTCACCTCCTCATCCCACCTCGTCGTCCTCCACCTCCTCCTCCTCGTCCTTCTCCTCCTCCTCCTCCTCCTCCTCCTCCTCCTCCTCCTCACCGTCACCACCACCACCATCAGCAGCACCATAATCATTATCCCTCCTCATCCGTCCTCCATCTTCCTTTACCTAGCCCTCCTAATCATTGATCGTTATCGTCGCTGCCCTCACCAGCTTCACCTTCTTTACCGAAGCACCACCATCATGATCATGACCATGATCACGATCATGATCATCATCAGCATCATCATCAGCATCCTCATCAGCATCCTCATCATCACCATGATCATAATCAGCATAATCATCGTCGTCATCATCATCATCAGCAGCATCACTATCATCAACATCAACATCAACATGCTCATCCTCATCCTCATCCTCATCCTCATCAATGCCAAACTCAGCATCATCATCACCCGCAACATCATCATCACCAGCAGCAGCATCATCATCATGATCATCATCATGATCATCATCAGCATCAGCATCAGCATCAGCTTCATGGCTTTCCTCATCCACATCAACATAATTATCCTCAGCATCATCAAGATAAGCCTCATGATCATCATCATCATCATCATCATCATCATCCTCATCAAAAAGATCATCCTCATCCTCATCATCATCATCATCGTCTTCTCCATCGAAATAGACATAATCGTCAGCATCATCAGCCTCATCAGCCGCATCAACATCATCACCATCCATCGTCGAGAACATCGTCAAGGTCATAATCATCAGCATCATCATTATCGTCATCATTATCATCATTGTCATCACCATCACCAGCATCGTCATCATCACCAGCATCATCGTCATCATCAGCAGCAACACCATCATCAGCATCATCAGCATCATCATCACCAGCATCGTCATCAGCACCAGCATTAATCGTCATCATCAGCATGATCAACAGCATGAGTATCATCATCGTGATCATTCTCGTCTCCAACATCCTACTCCTCCTCCTCCCCATCATAGTCATCATCGTCGTCATCAACATTATCGTCAGCATCATAAGCATGATCATCATCGTCATCATCATCATCATCATCACCATCCTCTTCAGCAGCATCGTCCTCATCACCATCATCATCATCATCATCATCATCATCATCATCATCACCAGCATCGTCATGATCACCAGCATCATCGTCGTCATCAGCATCAGCACCATGATCATCATCATTATCATTAGTTTCATCACCAGCCTCATCCTCTTCCTACTCCTCCTCATCATCGTTGTCATCGTCATCATAATCATCAGCAGCTTCAGCATCACGATCAGCATTACTATCATCAAGATCATCACCATCATCGCCATCATCATCACCATCATCATCAACATCGTAATCATCATCACCATCATCATCATCAGCATCATCATCACAATCATCATCATCATCACCAGCATCGTCATCATCACCAGCATCATCACCACCAGCTATTATCAGCATCATCAACGTCATCAACTGCATCATCATCATCGTTCTCCTCCCCCTCATCCTCCTCATCATGATCATTGCCGTCGTCGTCATCGTCGTCATCGTCATCACCATCATCCTAACAATCATTACCATCAACACCATCATCATCATCAACATCATCATCATCATCATCATCATCATCATCATCATCATCGGGATCATCGTAATCATCGACGTCATCATCATCAGCCTCATCAGCCGCATCAACATCATCACCATCCATCGTCGAGAACATCGTCAAGGTCATAATCATCAGCATCATCATTATCGTCATCATTCTCATCATTCTCATCACCATCACCAGCATCGTCATCATCACCAGCAGCATCGTCATCATCAGCAGCAACACCATCATCAGCATCATCAGCATCATCATCACCAGCATCGTCATCAGCACCAGCATTAAGCGTCATCATCAGCATGATCAACAGCATGAGTATCATCATCGTGATCATTCTCGTCTCCAACATCCTACTCCTCCTCCTCCCCATCATAGTCATCATCGTCGTCATCAACATTATCGTCAGCATCATAAGCATGATCATCATCGTCATCATCATCACCATCCTCTTCAGCAGCATCGTCCTCATCACCATCATCATCATCATCATCATCATCATCACCAGCATCGTCATGATCACCAGCATCATCGTCGTCATCAGCATCATCACCATGATCATCATCATTATCATGAGTTTCATCACCAGCCTCATCCTCTTCCTACTCCTCCTCATCATCGTTGTCATCGTCGTCATAATCATCAGCAGCTTCAGTATCACGATCAGCATTACTATCATCATGATCATCACCATCATCGCCATCATCATCACCATCATCATCAAAATCGTAATCAGCATCATCATCATCATCACAATCATCATCATCATCATCACCAGCATCGTCATCATCACCAGCATCATCATCACCAGCTATTATCAGCATCATCAACGCCATCAACTGCATCATCATCATCGTTCTCCTCCTCCTCATCCTCCTCATCATGATCATTGTCGTCGTCGTCATCGTCGTCATCGTCATCACCATCATCCTAACAATCATTACCATCAACACCATCATCATCAACAGCATCGTCATCATCAACATCATCATCATCATCATCATCATCATCATCATCGGGATCATCGTAATCATCGACGTCATCATCATTATCATCATCATCATCAACATCGTCATCATCATCATCATCACCGTCACCACCACCATCATCATCATCAGCATCGTCGACATCATCATCCTTATTATCGTCATCTTCTTCTTCATCATCATCGTCACGATCGTCATCATCATCATCACCAGCATCGTCATCATCTTCAGCATCGTCACCAGCGTCATCATCACCAAATATCACCAGCGTCATGGCCGTTATCAGCAGCAGTATCATCAATGCCATCAACAGCATCATCATCATCATCATCATCATCATCATCATCATCATCATCGTTCTCCTCCTCCTCATCATCATCATTGTCGTCGTCGTCATCGTCGTCCTCGTCATCATCGCCATCATTAGCATCATCATCACCATCATCCCCACAATCATCACCATCAACATCATCATCAACATCATCATCAGCATCATCATCACCATCATCCTCACAATCATCGCCATCACCATCATCAGCATCATCATCATTGGGATCATCGTAATCATCGTCATCATCAACGTCATCAGCATCATGATTATCATCATCATCATCATCATCATCATCATCATCATCATCATCACCATCGTCATCATCAACATCATCACCGTCATCACCACCACCATCATCATTAACAGTATCATCATCGCCGTCAGAATCATCATCGTCATCATCACCATCATCATCACCATCATCATCATCGTCATCATCGTCATCATCGTCATCATCACCATCAGCAGCATCGTCATCGTTATCGTCATCGCTCTCATCCTCAACCTCCTCCTCCTCCTCCTCCTCCTCGTCGCCGTCGCCGTCGCCGCCGCCGCCGCCGTCGCCGCCGTCGTCGTCGCCGCCGCCGGCGCCCTCGCCGCCGCCGCCCGCGCCGCCGAAGAGCCGCGCGCTGGCGGCGGCCTCCCGCCGGCGCCCCCCGCGTGGAGCTCCCCCGCCGCGCTGGCGTGCAGCGCCTCGGCCGCGGCCTCGGCCTGCCTGCGCCCCGCGGAGCAGACGCGCGAGGGCGCGCGGCCTCAGCCTCGAGGAGGAGGAGGAGGAGGAGGAGGAGATACAGGATGGAGGAGGAAGGAGGAGGAGGAGGAGGAGGAGGAGGAGGAGGAGAGAGTACAGTGGAGAAGGAGAGGAGGAGGTACAGGAGGAGAGGAGGAGGGAGGAGAGGAGGAGGAGGAGGAGGAGAGGAGGAGGAGGAGGAGGAGGAGGAGGAGGAGGAGGAGGAGGGGGGGGCGGAGGAGGAGGAGGAGGGAGGAGGAGGAGGAGGAGGAGGAGGAGGAGGAGGAGGAGGAGTTAGAGGCCCCAACCCGGTCCGAGCCTTCGGGGGCAACTCCTGGGAGCATCCCACACCGTACTACCTACCCTCGCCTCGCTCTCCCCTTTCTGGGCCTCCTGGGAGGCCCTCGTCGCCACCGCTGGATTCGCCTCGAAGTCCTGGTCAGAACGCGCCCCGGGAGAGGTTCGGGGAGTGACGGTATCGGCACGTTTTCGGTGGCAACTCATGGGAGCCTCCCAACCATCTTGTCGGTTCTTGCGAATCGACGCTACTCGATGCTAAATCGACGCTGATCGACACTGCATCGACGCTGAGTCGACGCTAAATCGACGCGAAATCGTCGCTACACCGGCGCTACCTCGTCGACTTCCAGAAGCTAATCGACGCTAAAGATGAAATTCAGAAGGTAATACCTTCTGAATTCCATCTTTACCGATATACCGATATCTTTCGCGTTTACCTTCAATCATAGTATCCTGGTATACCGTGCACCAAGCTCCCATGATTTGCTACCGAACGAGCCGGTTCGAGTCGCGAGATCGGATCGGGAGCGGAGCGGGTCGCGCCCAGGATCGGTCCGCGGGGTCTCGCATCGGGATCGGGGTCGCATCGGGATCGGGGGGGTGGGCTCGGCCCCCTGCAGAAGCCAAGAAGGGGGGTCGGGTCGTGCCAGGCCGGAGCGGAGCGAGCTGTCGGAAGCGAAGTACAGTGGAGGCCGCTCCACAAGAAACCTTCCACAAGAAACACCCAACTCTCAGACCCCAGGGCGTCCCTTGATGTCTGGCGTGGGAGCGTCACGCTTCCCACAGCAAGACCATCGAAACCCAAGAAACCCAGGGCACCCTGGAGGCAAAGCAGGGTGTTTCTTTCCTGGCATGGGTCTCCACTGTGAGGGGGGGGTCGGGTCTGCTCGAGTCGGGCCGTGAGCAGGCCCTGTCCCGGCCGCCCTGGGCTCGGAGGCGCCAGAGAGGGGCCGCGCAGCCAGCGCGGGGGCCAATGATATAGTGGATTGAGCGCCGTGCTCTCCGTCCGTTGCCCACAGCATGCGAGCGGGGGGCAGCAGCGCTCGGAGAGAAGCAGATGCCGTCCGTGGCGCTGCTTGCATCAGGCCGGGCATGTCCCCCTACAGGCGGATTTCTGAACGAAAAATTCGAAATAGTCGGAAAAAACTCCAAAATGATCAAAAATAGTCCATAAATCGTCCCCAGACTATGTTTTGACAATTTTGAATATTCCTCCTGTAGGGGAACAGGCCCGACTTAATGCTTGCACCAACGGGTCTCTGCTCAGAGGGCCCCCAGCGGCTCAGGGCACACGGAGGGCCAGAGGGCTCCGCCCAACCTCGAGGCCTCCGCCCCAGAATCCCCTCAAGTGCACCAAGGTCGGGGAGGGATAGCTTGGCTTGGACACACAACACTCACAAAAGGCATCCGTGTCTTTCTTGGTTCTGTTCGGGTTATCTACTTGCGCGCCTGGACTGAGAATCGGCACAAACATATGTGGCTTCCCATCCTGCCGTCTTGGGCCCTCGTTTTGGAGAGACAGCGTCCCGCGTTCTCCTCTTCCTCTCCCTCCTCCTTCTCCTCCTCGCCATCCTCCTCCTTCTCCTCCTCCTTCCTCCTCCTCCTACTTCATCCTGCTCCTCCTCCTCCTCCTCCTCCTCCTCCTCCTCGCCCCCCTCCTCCTCCCTCCTCCCATCCCCTGTCCGCGCCATATTTCGGCACACCCCGTCCACACGCTTCGTGGCCCCATGCGGAGCTCCACCGAAGGCACCAAGGGCAGGGTCCCGCACCGCATTCAACACGCCCCATCGCACGCTTCGTGGCCACGCCGGGAGCTCCACCGAAGGCCCCCAGCGGCGGCAGGGTCTGCCACGGGCGGCCCCGCACCCGACTCGGCACACCCCCCACCGCGCTTCGTGGCCACAAATTGGGAGCCCCACCGAAGACATCACGGGGGAATCATTAATATCAAACCCAAGAACCATCAGAACCGACGACGTGGACTCACCAGGAAAAAATTAAGGGGGGGGGGGTCGCAAAACTGACGGAAATACCTCCCTCACCACTAAGAGAGGGTCACCAAACAACTGACGACCGCCACCTGGGGAACTGCGGGGATATTGCAGCGAAGAGGAGGGGGGCTGGGAATACTGACGACGGCGCGGCCGCCCGACCCGTTCGTCCCCTTTGCCGAAAGTGAACCGACGACGGCGCGGCCAGAAAACCCCTAAGTTGCTTTCCATTGGAGTCGCGCGAGTGATCCGAAGACCCCAGCGGCAGGGTCTGCACGGGCGGCCCGGCACCCGATTCGGCACACCCCCCGCACGCCTCGTGACCCCAAATTGGGAGCCCCACCGGATGCTCCAGCGGCAGGGTGCGCAGTGCGGCCCCGCGCCCACTTCGGCAAACCCCTCACACGCTTCGTGGCCCCAAGGGCCTGTTGGGCTCTCCGGGGGCTCTTTGGGCAGTCTGGCAGGCGAGCTCGGATGTCGTAGGGGCCGTCTTGCGGGCACGGCTCTCGAAGCCTCCTCGAGTTCCTCTTCTTAAACCCCTGTTAGGGGCGCTCTTGGGGGCTTCTTGGTCCGTCTTAGGGCCCTGGGCCGTCTTGACGCCCTCTTGGAGCCCTGTTTGGCAGTTCTCTGGCAATATTAGCGTGCTCTTGGGTCGTCTAAGGCTTTCGGAAGCCAAGAATTGCGAGCGTGCTGTGATCCTTAAAACACCTCAGAAACATAGTTGATGTTTGCCTCGTGGGGCCATCTTGGGGGGTCCCCTTGGGAAGCCCTTGGGGCGCCTTGGAACCATTTCCGGCCGCCCCGGGCACGTCTTCGGAAGTCGTGGGGCTTTCCTGGGCCATCCTGGGGCTCTGGGGTCGTTCTGGGCCGGCCCCGTGGCTCGCCTGGGCACGCGCGGGCCCGCCGAGGGCGCCCTCCCCCCAGAAGGCCTGGGCACCCCATGACCGGCACAGGTCCTCCTCCTCCTCCGCCTCCGCCTCCTCCGCCTCCTCCGCCTCCTCGTCCTCCGCCTCCTCCGCCTCCTCCTCCTCCGCCTACTCCTCCTCCTCCTCCTCCTCCGGCTGCTCCGTGTTAGAATTCTCTGCAGCACCCTGCAGTTGCGGATAAGGGCGAGGGGGCGGCGGGATCTGACCCAGCGGAAACCTTATCAAGGTCGACCCCGCGCTTGAGTAAGCTGTAGCCGTGAAACCAAGGGCGCCAGATAGGCGAGAAAATCCTGGTGTGGAGAGCTGTGTCCGCCTGGATAGTACGTAGCACCCCGCAGCTGCGTGCAAGAGTGAGGGGGCAGCGGGGACGTCTGCATTCAGCGAGGCTTCGAGGGAACCCGTCACAGATTATGCAACGAGCCCGCCGCAGGCGCCGATCTTTTCGTAAAAACACTGGGGGCGGGCGCGGGGCGGGTCGCGGGGTGGGTCGCGGGTGGGTCGCGGGTGGGTCGCGGGTCGCAGGCAGGTCGCGGGTGGGTCTCGGGTGCGTCGCGGACTTCTCCCTACCACATCCTACCACCACGTCCTCATCTCTCCGTCCCTCCGTTTTCCTTTTGCCTTTCTTGAGAGCTTCGTTGGGGCCTCTTGGAGGCCTTTTGGCGCCTCTTGGGCTTCCTGGGAGCCACTCGGGACCGAGGCCCGAGATTTCCGTTCGGAGTCCCCTGTGTGGACCTCGTCTTGGAGCCGTCTTTGTGGCCTTCGGGGCCGTCTTGGAGGCGTCTTGGGTTGGCTCGGGGTCCTCTCGGGGCGTCTTGGGGCTTGGGGGCCTCTTGGGCAGCCTGGGAGCGTTCTTGGAGGCGTCCTGGGCCGTCTTAGAGCGTTGGGAAGCCGAAATAGGGAGAAAGCGAACATCTTCCAAGAACAATTGAAGACATCAACAGGTTTGGCTCTTTGGGCTCTCTTGGGAGGCCTCGTGGGGGAATCCTGGGACGTCTTGGACGTCTTCTGGGCCGTCTCTTAGGCTGTCTTGGGGGCCTCTAGGGCCCTTTTTGGGGGATGCGGTATTCACACATATCTGTATATACACACATACATGCATACATACGTGCTTATGTGCGTATACTAACATATACACATATATATATATATAAGACTGCATTGGCGCTTCGCGCCATGCACCTTGGTCCTTGAGGCTTTGCATCTATTGGTCGTTCGCGCCATCCCTAGTGACCTTGGAAATTTGGCCCCTTCCCTGCGGTGGTTTTCGGAAGTCTTCGAAAATTCGGAAGGTCCCTGGCCCTTCCTGGGCCTCTGGGGGCTGAAAGGCGCCGGGTGGAGGGCGAAGGATAGGAGGGAGGGAATCTGGGGGAGCGAGGAGAGGGAAGCGGAAATGGGGGAGGACGAGTGGTGGAGCGGCAGAAAAAGGAGGAAGAGGAGGAAGAGGAGGACCCAGCGGAGGAGCAGGAGGGACATGTGTACGTACACCCTTGCAGAAATATCTGGCGTTGAATGACGACAAAAGGCCTTCGTAGGCCCGCACATTGGCTGGCTCGTGGCTCAGGTGCCCCTGTGCGCAATACGAAGGAATGGCAAGCCATGCGAATGAATGCCAAGCAAACCGACGCAATGTCAAGCAATGCCGCAAAACACAAAGCAATGCCAAGCCGAAGATATCATGTTGCAGCGGGTCGCAACGGGGCACGCGAAAATAAGTAATTACTGGGTAATGCACCGAATGCCAAGTTCGCAACAGATTTCCGGGAAACGT